ACAGTTGTTAGCACCACCTCCTGATGTTCTGAGCTGCCTGCTCAGAACCCAGAGGACAAGACAAGGTCACTAATAAACACCACAGAATGGTGTCTGCTTCCTGGGTTCTGCATAAAAATATTGCAGCCCAATGAATACCAAACGAGTGTAATGGATTGGCTTAATCCACATTTGAACACCCACAAACACAGCCGCCTAATAGCATTGCTGTTTCCAGCAGATTTTCATGCTTGTCAATTATTCAGACTCATCAGCTGTCCTAACTTTGACTTCAGTTAAAGTAAAGATGCATTTAATGTTTACTTAGTAAAGGAAGAAAAATCAAAATGTTAATCTATTTTTTAAATCCTTTTCAAGAGCAATAGTCCATTTGCAGTATGTGCCATCTGTAAGCACAGGATTGCACCTCTTTGCCAGAGAAGACCCCAAACATGGAACCCTAATATGCAAATAGACCCAACAGCACAACCACTAAACAACCGGTCGCTATGATGTACGCTGACCACCAGGGGCGCAGGCGGAACATGGCGGGCATCAGCAACAGGCAGCAGAGCATGGAACATGGCAGGCATTGGCTGCGGTGGGATGGTGGAGCAGGTGAGCAGGGGTGCCAGACTAAAGCAGGGCACCAGTCACTGTCATCGGGGCAAGCCACTGGTGGTTACTGAAAATTCTTTGCTCCTGCATACCATGGTTCCCACCAGGCACTCACACCCACTGCTGGCGCTTGCCCCAATTGCTCTGTGCTGTCAGCGGGTGTGAGCAGGGCCGGCACTGTCAGTGCATGGGAGTGGTGGCAGGGCGGGAGCAGGGCTGCTGGCAAACAGGGAACTGGGGCCTCGGTGGGAGGGGCCTAGCGGGGGTGTGGAGGATGGGCCAAGACCCGTGCCTGTAGCCACCACAGCCTCATGGCCCACAGTTCCTTTCAAGGTGCACGAATTCGTGCACTGGGCCCCTGGTCACAATATAAACAGACAAAACCTAAATCTTGGAAAGAACTCAAGCAGAGATGGATAAGTATTTGGGTCCACAGGAACTTCCCAAGTGGTGCCCCAGAACATGTCCTCTATATGCAGGTGCAGGGACTCCAGCAGGTAGTGCCCCACCCTATTCACGTCTGTGTCAAGCCTGTGCAGACCTTGCAGCATGGAGAGATTCTAGGTGGGAGTTTGTGGATACATCCTTTCTACCCCTACCTAACACACACATACACACACTCACAGGAAGAGCAACCATTTGTCTCCAGGATGGGAAAACAGCAAATAAATGTAATTATTCTGTACATTCAATAAGATTAACCAGAAGTGTCTTCCATCTCCTGAGCCTACCATTATTCAGGAGGTGAATTCTCAGAGCATCTCAGGAAGGGTGAAGCAGGACTTGGAGAACTCTTCAAGGAAAAAAATTTTAAGACACCAAAGAAAGCCACTGGGCCATCTATATACCGAATAGTACCAAAGCTCTTCTTGCTGTTATAAGAAAATCCAAGGAGCCCTGGCTGGTGTGGCTCAGTTGGTTGGGTGTCATCCCATGCTGGTTCAATTCCCAGTCAGGGCACATGCCCAGGTTGGGGGCTCAGTCCCCAGTAGGAAGCATGCAGGAGGCAGCAGATCAATGTTTCCCTCTCATATGGATGTTTATATATATCTCTCTCCCTCTCCTACTTCCTTCCTCTCTCTCTAAAAATATCAATAAAATCATAATAAATAAATAAAAGGAAATCAAAGGAGATATTAAAGCTTGTATTTATCAGAGATAGAATGAACTTCTACATATCTGGAACCATTAGAATATAAAAGAATGTATGAGAGGGTAAAAGGTCAGCAGGAACTCTGTCTTTGATGAGTAAATTGACACTAAGACAAAAAAGAAACTACCAAGGGCTGAAGTTTATGTCCAATAAAGTTTTATGAATATGAATCCTATATATAAATAGGCAATATGCAAATTGACCCTCATGCCCTCGTGTCACAAGATGGCTGCCCCCACGTCATCACAAGATGGCTGCCACAAGATGGCCACCCCCACATCATCACAAGATGGCCATCCCCATGTTGTCACAAGATGGCCGGCAGGGGAGGGCAGTTGGGAGCGATCAGGCTGGCAGGGGAGTGGTTAGGAGGTGATCAGGCTGGCAGGCAGAGCGGTTAGGGGCAATCAGGCAGGCAGGTGAGTGGTTGGGAGCCAGCAGTCCCGGATTGTGAGCGGGATGTCCGACTGCCGGTTTAGGCCCTATCCCAGGCCTAAACTGGCAGTCAGACATCCCTTGAGGGGTCCCAGATTGGAGAGGGTACAGGCTGGGCTGAGGGACACCCCTCCCCCCCACCTCATGCACGAATTCCATGCACTGGGCCTCTAGTCATTCTATAACAGATAATATTTATTGAGCACCTCAATGGGCCAGTTGATCCTTTAAACCTTTTACAGACAATAACTCAAATGGATCCTCATAACCACCCCACATGTGCAGCTATTAAGCCCCACATTATAGACGAGGAAACAGCACAGTAAGCGGCTGAGTCAGGATTTCAGCTTATCTAGGGCCAGAAGCCACGCTCCACCTGTTGGGCTGCCTCAGACACTAAACCAAACCTACAGTGAAGGCTGGTTTCCTGGTTATTCCAACCAGATGCCCATCAGATCCCTGACTGCTGCCCTCACCCCTTCCAGGCAGCGCTGCCCCACTATGGCCCAAGCATGTGCTCTGGAAAGATTAGCACAAATGGCCCCATCCACAAGACAGACACAGCTTCACAAGCACCTCAAAACCAGGACACAGGCCCCTGCACACGTACAAAATGCAGACCCCATGAGCACCTGAGGACCAAGGAGAAGGGCAAAGCAGCACAGCTATCCCTGGTGGGGTCAGGGAAAGGAAGGTGCTGCTGTCCTCACCACAGCCCAAATAAACACTGAGCCCATAAAACTGATTCTGAAAGTATGTTTATGGCAAAATGATCTATGAAGTTCTTCATTGATGAGAGTAAGGAAATTAAAACAAAACAAAAAACAACTATGTTGGGCAATGTTCCTTTAACTGATGTAAAATGTGAAGGAATTGACTTAATTGATTCCAAGGAAAGATGCCAGAAATTCCTCAGCATTAGATCTGGGCTTAAAACAGGAATTATTGCGCCCAATTAGTATGGTGATTTTTTAAAAATCTCTCCTCTATAGTTCAGAGTTCATTTACAGACAAGGAATTCACCCATTAACAAATGGAACACCTCAACACCGTAAAATGACACCCAGGTATCGTCCTGGTGTCCCACGGCTCCCCTTTTAGGCTGGGGACATGTGACAACAAGCTGACGGGGGTGGCCCTGATGAGGGGAGAGCCTCTCCACTGGCACGTGGCTTCTGCACAAAACCCAGGTGCCACCTGGGGCCGAGAGGTCCAGCCTCGGGCATCATGTCTTCTCCATCTACAGCTGCCAGCCCAGCCCTCCACGTTCACAAACACCTGGGCACAAGCACGTGTCTCAGTGACAGGTGGGGTGGGGCTAATGGAGTAAGCTCCGCAAGAATAGCAGGTAGCTGAGCTTTCTCTACCCTGAGAAACTAGGGACACGTGTGTAGTAAGACATGGAACCACTGTGTAGCCCCCTATCAATGAGTCAAGTTTGGAGTGGGAGGAAAGAGAGAAACAGAAAACTGTATTACAGCCAGTCAGCCTCACTTCAAGAGGTAGTGGAGACAAAGGGGGAGAATGGAACTTTAACCAAAATGCAACATAAAAATCATTTTTAAAAAAAATGAAGTACTGATCCATGATACGATATGGCGGAAACTTGAAAACATTATGCTAAGTGAAGTAAACCAGAAACAAAAGTTCACATATTGTATGACTCCATTTATACAAAAAACCCAGAATACATAAAAGTATAAAGACAGAAAGCAGATTAGTGGTTGGCATGGGCTAGGAGGAGGGCAAGTGGGGAGCGACTGCTTAATGCAGCGGTTCTCAACCTGTGGGTCGCAATCCCTTTCACAGGGGTGGCCAAGACCATCCTGCATATCAGATATTTACATTACGATTCATAATAGTAGCAACATTACAGTTATGAAGTAGCAACGAAAATAATTTTATGGTTGGGTCACAACATGAGGAACTGTATTTAAAGGGCCAGAAGGTTGAGAACCACTGGCTTAATGGGTACAGCGTTTCCTTTGGAAATGATGGAAATGAGCTGGATCTAGACCAGTGATGGCGAACCTATGACACGCGTGTCAGAGGTGACATGCGAACTCATTTTTTTGGTTGATTTTTCTTTGTTAAATGGCATTTAAATATATAAAATAAATATCAAAAATATAAATCTTTGTTTTACTATGGTTGCAAATATCAAAAATTTTCTATATGTGACACGGCACCAGAGTTAAGTTAGGGTTTTTCAAAATGCTGACACGCCGAGCTCAAAAGGTTCACCATCACTGATCTGGACAGTCATGCAAATGAGCTTAATGACACTAATGTGTATACTGTGAACTGGTTAATTTTATGTTAAGCAAATTTCACCGCAATAAAAAAAATATTTGTAACTGCAACATAAACATATTGGTCTAACAAATAAGAAGTGGTTTTAGGATGGACTGCAGGCTTCCCAGAATTGTATCAGGTGTCTCTTCCTCTCTGCCCTCCATTTAGAAAATCCCATAAGACTGAGCAAGTCATTTTTATGGCTTTACAAATAGATATTTGTGAAGTTCTCCCTCATTTATCTGTAACATACGTGCCCAGTTCAAACAGCCTGTGGTCCCAGCACTCCTCCTGCTGCATGATCTTACCAGACGTGAGGGAACATGCTGGCCGTTCTCAGCCCCAAACATAATAGGTTCAACAGGCTACCGTGCATCCAAGGGAAAGTTACAGAAAGCCCAGAATCCAAAAGCCAAACTTTCAAATACAAGCTAATGTTTATTGAGCATTTGGTACTTGCCACAGACTGTTGGCAGCATTTGGGTACGCCTCGACTTATTTCATCATCACAACAGTCATCATGCAAGTGAAGCAGCAGAACGCCAGGAAGGTAAGTAGGATATGCAAGGTCATAGAGCTAATTAAGGTGAAGAAGAGATTTGAGCCCAGACAGTCCACATCCACAGCCTCCCTGTTTAACCTCTATGCTTTACAGCCTCTGCATAGACAGGACCCATTTTCTTTAAAGTTCTATTTCAGTTCTAAGGTTGGTGTAAATAGGCCCATGCTGGCCCTGGCTACAGTGAGGAATCCCAATCGTCACTGGGAAAAGTAAAGAGCACTAGACTGGTAGCCAAGAGATCAGTGTTGTAGAACCATCTTGGTTATTGGTATTGTGGCTTCAGGCAGATTATAAAACCTCTCCAGCCCTTAGCATCCTCTCTGTAGACATGAGAAGTTGGATTAGATTAATAGTTTTCCAATTATTTAAGCAGCAGGACTTATTCTTAAAATTAAACTTTATTTTGAAGCCTAATATACAAAACAGATAAAAGTGTGGAGCTATTCGGCATAAGTTGGAAGAGGAAGGATGCAGAACCTCTTTCCATGCCCCAAGTAGTTCCTAAGACACTTTCTTAGAACCCTGGTGACTCTGTGTAACACAATTTGAAAACCACTTGAATAGATATTTGTAAAGTTCTTCTGAAAATAAACCCTAGTCCTAGCCAGTTTGGCTCAGTGGATAGAGTGTTGGCCTGAGGACCAAAGGGTCCCAGGTTCGATTCCGGTCAAGGGCATGTACCTTGGTTCCAGGCTCCTCCCTGGCCCGGGCCCTGGTCAGGGCATGTGCAGGAGGCAACCAATCGATGTGTTTCTCTAACATTGATGTTTCACTCTGTCTTTCCCTCTCTCTTCCACTCCCCCCCCCCAAAAAAAAAGTCAATGGAAAAATATCCTCCAGTGAGAATTAACAACAACAAAAAAAGAAAGAAAGAAAAGAAAAGGAACCCTAAAAATCTTAATTTCAAATACTGCATCCTTGGGCATTCTTTAATACTGTGTGTGTGGGGTGGAGGGTTGGGGGGGGGGGGGAAATAGAATATTCTAGTCACTTTGCTCAAAGATACTTATAGTATTTGAATTGATGCCTTTTGAGAGTTGGTGAAGGTTTCAGGTAAGAAGTGCAAGTGGACCCCTCTGAGGACATAACCAAGAATCAATAAAAGGATGTGGAGAACCTAAGCCTTCCAAGGGGCTCAAATCACTCTGAATTAACTATTAAGTATTACTATCCCAACAGACCCTCACAGGAGACCAGCTGTTCAATTCTGAATCTGTGTTTTTTTAAAAAAAGCTCTAAAGTTACTAAGCTAGACTTTAACATCAATCAAGGTAGCGCCACTTCTTTCTCCATAAAACTTAGTGCTGATATCTTGCTGGATCCCTATATTCAACTTGGTCAATGAACAACTGGACAAGAAATGATAGGGAGAGCATGAGTCTCTCATACTAATTCTGGAAAGATCAACTGACAGAGACCTCCCGGGGAGGGAACTGCTCTTTTAAACATTGATGAGCAAGTCAACTCCATTCTCTCCTCTCACCCTGCAGGCATTTATAAAGTCCAGCTTGCTGCAGTGCTTGGAAGAGGTTATACAACTGTTATGATGCAATGTTCAAGGCAGACAGATACCCATAACTCAGAGGCCAAGGCAAACAAGAATATATTAATAGCAGCCATAACATAAAGATAATTTATTTTGAGTATCTGGGAGCTGAGGAGATCAGCAGATAGACTGTTAAGCATTTAGGCACTAAAGCAAGGGAGCTTAGCAAATAGGGAAAGAGCAGGAGAGAGGTGGAGGGAAGAAAGATTGATCTCCTTTGGAAACAATGGAGCATCTGAACTAATTAACTAACTAACAATTATGTGGTTATGGGCCGCACCAAACAAAGAGGAAAAGACATTCTCCTACACCCCCATCCTGCCATTTGGGTGGCATGTACCACCCAAGGGGCAAGGCATTTGTTTAGTCCCAGAAGAGAGATCATACGAAGAAACAGTTTCTTTTCTTTGTTCAAAATGCTGGCCAGATGGCAGTAAACAACTACAAAAAAATCACAGTTTGAAATTAGGAAAACATCACAGTACCTTTCTTTGGGGAATGGCAAGAAAGAATTAGAAAGCTATTTCTCTACTTTATTTTTTTAACCAATGAAAACTGAAGTAAAAGAATCACTTTGCAGTTTCAGTTTTTCTTTTAAAGCAGAGCAGAAAATACATTTTGATTGTGTATTCTCAGAATGTACGCTGTGCGCTCTCCCAAATGTCACAAACAGGGCTGAATCAAATCTCCGATACCAAGTCATCAGCTGATCCTCAACATTGCAAAATCTTTAAAAAAAAAAAATCTCCCCTCGAAAAAGAAAACATTCAAAAATCTTGAACTCATGCAGTAAACTCTCAGGTGAAATGTTTCTAAGCAACTTTAAAAAATAAGCCTTGCCAGTGGGGCTCAGTGGTTGAGTGTCAACCTATGAACCAGGAAGTCAGGGTTCGATTCCTGGTCAGGGCACATGCCCACGTTTCGGGCTCATCCCCAGTAGGGGGCATGCAGGAGTCAGCTGATCAATGATTCTCTCTCATCAGTGATGTTTCTATCTCTCTCTCCCTTCCTCTCTGAAATCAATAAAAATACATTTTAAAAGCTAATAAATATCAATATTATCTAAATCCGAGTTCATGTCAAAAATTAAATGTCCATAAAAGTATATATCATTTGTACACAGTGTTGTTTGGAAATCAGCTGATACAAGGTAACACAGGGCCTAAAGCAGAAGAGTGAAGACTTTCTGCATCTGAAACTTCCTCCACATCCAATTCTTCAACATCACCAACTCTCAAATATGCTTCTTTCTTTCATTCCTAGCCACTGTCAACATTATAGTTCAGGCCCTCTCCTCGCCTCTCATCTTGCTAGTGTCATCACCTAACAGGAATTTGTACCTAACTGACCAACTGTCTTGACTCTCACTCCCCAATCACAATCAATCTATTTTTCAGGCTGAATCCAACATCATCATTCTAAAACACAGATGTGATCATATCACCCCATGTTTAAGAACTTTCAAGGCTCCCTATTATCTCCAGGATAATCCAAAAGCTTTAGCAGAGCCTAAAAGACTCACCATCTTGCCCACCTTACCCTTTCGGCCTTACCTCCTCATCTTCCTCTTTCCCCCACTCAGCAAACACCTCCCTCCAACCATTGAACATAGACATTTATACTCATGCTTCCCTCAGTTCCTACTTTTCCCTTCTATCTGTCAGGCCATTAAAAATGCCAGCTCCTCCATGAAACTTCCCAACATTTATAAGCAGCTGGTTTTCTTTTGGTCTTTCAGAGCATTCGCATGCATGTCCACGAGTAGAATAATCATTTGTTCTGATCTTGTTGTTTCCAATAACTGCCTTCCCTCTTTAGTTATCTTAGGGAGGGGAAATATGTGTCTTTGTGTCACAATACCCAGCACAGAGCAGGCTTTGTAAATGGCTAGGTGGATAACAAGTAAATGACTGATAAATGCATGAATAAAAGAATTCAGGGGTTTACAACCCAAGTGAGAAAGGTAGTAAAAATATGTGAAGTTAAATACTTAACAGTCAAGATCAGTAATAGTTGAACTCAATGAATAAAAGAAATATGAGAGACAATCAAGTGTCATAAGATCCTGAGGCTGGTATCCGGGGAAGAACTTCTCCAAGAGGAGGTACTTGAATCTTCAATGGATGAAGAGGATTTGAATTAGAACACAGAAGATGCAACTGCATTCCAGGAGGCTGGAATGTGAAAGAGAAAAGGAAAGCAGAGCCCTGGTCAGGTGGTTCAGTTGGTTGGAGTGTCATCCCATACACCAAAACACTGTTACAGGTTTGATTCTCCATCAGGGCACATACCTAGGTTGCAGGTTAGATCTCTGGTCAAAGTGCATACAGGAGTCCACCAATTGATGTTTTCTCTCACATTGATGTTTCTTTCTCACTCTCTCTTTCTCTCTCTCTCTCTCTCTCTCTCTCTCTCTCTCTCTCATCAATGAAAAGCATCTCCTCGGGTGAGGATTAAAAAAATAATGAAGCAGGAAGGCCCAAGTCATGTTTGGAGGCTAAAAATAAAACAGTCCTAGAAGCATTATTTGGAGGCATAAGCTAATCTTCAACAAGAAAATGCCTGCTCCCAGAAATTGAAAACCCATTTGAAAAAATAATGACAGAAAACTTCCCTAAGTTGGTGAAGGAAGTAGACATACAAGTTCAAGAAGTGCAGAGAGTCCCAAACAAGATGAACCCAAAGGGGCCCACACCAAGACATATAATTAAAATGCCAAAGGTTAAAGACAAAGAGAGGATCATAAAAGCAGCAAGAGAAAAGCAGTTAGTTACCTACAAGGGAGCTCCCATAAGACTGTCGGCTGATTTCTCAACAGAAACTTTGCAGACCAGAAGGAAGAGGCAAGAAATATTCAAAGAGATGAAAAGAAAGAACCTACAACTAAGATTACTCTACCTAGCAAAGCTATCATTTAGGATTGAAAGACAGATAATGAGCTTCCCAGACAAGAAAAGGTTAAAGGAGTTCATCACCACCAAACCAGTGTTATATGAAATGTTAAAGGGCCTTCTTTACGAAGAAGAAGAAGGGGAAAAGATATAAAATATGAATAGCAAAATGGGAATAAATACACATCTACCAACAATTGAATCTAAAAAACAAAATAAACAAATTAGCAGAACAGAAACAGACTCATAGTTACAGAGAATGATTTGATGGTTGCCAGATGGGAGGGGGTTAGGGGAATAGGTGAAAAAAGGTCAGGGATTAATAAGTACAAATTGGTTGTTACAGAATAGTCATGGGGATGTAAAGTAGCGCATAAGGAATGTAGTCAACAATATTCTAATAACTATGCATGGTATCAGATGGGTGCAAGGTTTATCAGGATAATCACTGAGTAAGTTATGTAATGCCTAACCACTGGGGTGTACACCTGAAACTAATATAATAATGTATGTCAACTGTAATTAAACATAAAAATGATTTTAAAAATGTA